CATTTTTTGAAGTGCATAAAAATATAGTAGGTTATTAAATTAATTTCGTGTAGATTTCCAAGTCTGTTGTTGTTAAGTGCCATCGAGTCAGTTCTGACTCATTGTTAATAGACCTTGTGGTCCAGTGCTTATCCTATAGCGCTACACCAAGACTCCATAGCGACTCTATATAAGGAAGGTTTCCAAGGAATGGCTGGTGGGTTTGAAGCATTGACCTTGAGGTTATCAGTCCAGTGGTTAAGTGACAATGCCACCCAAGGACTACATATCTGCTCTTGTTCTTAGGTGCCATTAGTCAGTATCAACTCATAGCAACCCTATGCACAATGGAAAAAACACCGCCTGGTCCTGTGCCCACCTCAAAATCATTGCTATGCTTGAGCCCACTGCTGCTGCCATTGTGCCAGTCCATCTCATTGGGGTCTTTCTCTTTTTCTCAGACCCTCCAATTTACCAAACATTCTATCTTCTCCAGGAACTGATCCCTCCTAATAATACGTTCAAAGTATGAGAGACAAAGTCTGGCCATCCTGGCTTCCAATGAGCATTCTGGCTGTAATTCTTCCAACAAAGATTTGTTTGTACATTTGGCAGTCCACGGTACTTTTAACAATCTTATCTTCATTTGTCTGGATGTTGTTTATTGCTTCAGTGGTGAAGTCTTTAGTTTTCTTTACATAGAGGTACAACCAATACCAAAGGCTGTAGTCTTTGATCTTCATCAGTAAGTATTTTAAGTCCTCTTCACTTTCAGCAAGCAAGGTTGTATCATCTGCGCATCACAAGTTGTTAATGAGACTTTCTCCTATCTTCATGCCATGTTTCTCTTCATATAATCCAGTTTCTCAAATTCTTTGCTAAGCATGCAGACTGAATAAGTATGGTGAAAGAATGCAACCCAGGTGCACAGCTTTCCTAATTTTGAACATTCAGTGTTCCCTTGTTCTATGAACAGCTGCCTCGTGATCTATGTACAGGTTCCTCATGAGTGTTTTGGAATACTCATTCTTCACAATGTTGTCCATAGCTTGTTGTGATTCACACAATCAGAAGCCTTTGTGTAGTCACTAAAGCACAGGTAAACATCTTTCTGGTATTCTCTGCTTTCAGCCAAGGTTCAAGTGACATCAGTAATGATATCCCTCATTTCACATTCTCTTCTAAATCCAGCTTGAACCTCTGGCAGTTCTACCAATGTATCATTACAGCTATTTTTTTGTATTATTTTTAGAAAAAATTTACTCGCATTAATGATATTGTCTGAGGATGTCTGTATTTCATTAGATCACCTCTCTTTGGAATAGGTACAAGTATGGCTCTCTTCCAGTCAGTTGGCCAGGAAGTTGTCTTCCAAATTTCTTGGCATAAATCAGCAAGTGCCTCCAGTTTGGCAACATTTTGTTGGAAGATTTCAACTTGTATTAAATCAGTTTCCAAAGCCTTGTTATTTATATCAATGCCTTCCACACACGCTGGACTTCCTGCTTCAATATCATTGGCTCCTTCAATACCTTTTGAAATAGTTGAACACTGTCCATTTCTTTCTTTTTTTAAAAAGGTTTTTATTGTGGATTGAGTGAAAGTTAACCGGACAGATCATTAGTGTTACATTCAACAAATCATACACCTTGTTACATTACAATGATTATAATCCCCTCTATGTACCATCAGTTAACAGTATTTTTCTCTATTCACTTAAGTCTTTTTATAAAAAAAACAACAACACTCAGGCTTATAATAATTTACACCACCAAAGGGCACATTCTACAAGTCTGCCTCCTGGTCACCATCTCTTAGTCCCTCTCTTCCCATGAATCTGGAGTCCTCAGCTGTTCTCTCTCTCCATGTCCCCATCTCTGCCTCCAACTCCAGTGTCTCTGATTCTCTGGCTAAGGTCTCAAATTCTGCTTGTGTTCTTCTCCCTTGAAGGTCCTAGGGTCCTTTGTTTCTAGACTACAAGATTAACTGCTCGTTTTTGTTACAAAACTTCTACCTTTACAATTGTGACAGTCGCAATTAGTCATGATAACTATTACTCACTATTGAATCATAAGAATCTTATCCCCATCTCTTTTAACTAGATTTATCTAGACAAGATGAAAAATATTCATTGGGGACTTTCTCTACCCCCCTCACTCTTAAACTCCCTCTTGAAACCTTGTAAGCCAGTCACTTTGTGTCTTTATCGCCCCCTCATTTTAGGTAGCCACTAGGAATTTCTTTTTGGCACAGTTACTCTGTGTATTCGTTCCATCTTTTTTTGATGCTTTCTGTATCATTCAATATTTTGCCCATGTTTGTTGTTGTTAGGTGCAACCCTATGCACAACAGAATGAAACACTGCAAGATCCTGGGCTAACCTCACAATTGTTGCCACATTTGAGGTCACTGATGATGCCACTTTGCCAATCCTTCTCCCTGGGGTCTTCCTCTTTTTCTCTGACCCTCCACCTTTCCAAACATGATATCCTTCTCCAGTGACTGATTCCTCCTGACGATATGTCTTAAGTATGAGAGATGATGTCTGGCCATCCTGGCCTCCAAGGAGCACTCTGGCTGCACTTCTTCCAACACAGATTCATTTGTTGTTTTGCAGCCTGTGGTACTTTCAATATTCTCCTCCAACACCAGAATTCAAATGCATTAATTCTTCTACAGCCTTCCTTATTCACTGTCCAGCATTC